TTCCCTTAAGGATGCAATGGAATTTTATGATTGCAGAAGTTTAGAGATGGATGGTGAAGTGGAGCCTCATTCAGGATACAAGATTTCAACTGATCACCCCACAAAGAAGACAACACCAGAGACCCTTAGACAGGTTAGACTTAGACACGTTAATCTCATGCTTGTACATTTTATCTCTTTAGACAGATTCAATTGGTTTTTAGAACATTGCCACTAAGACCACAATTCTTATAGTTTTAGTTATATTCTAAGCAATCTAATATATATTATATAATGTGGAGTCTTGGATTCTCTTTTAGCATGGTTGGTTAAACCACCTACATCAATGAATATCTTCTCTTTTGTTTCATATGCTTGGTTGTATGATTTATAATAGATTGAAACTATACTTGAAACTCTTTTATACCTGGCAAGGTAGTTAGTTCCTTCCATCTACTACACTGTTAGTGAAGGAGATACACAACTAGGTGCTGCACCTGCACTTACACTAATGGATAGGTTAGATTTATTTGTGCCCTTGTCGGTTACAAGAAAATGCAAAACCAAGAAAACAGAAACTATGTTTTGCTTTATGAAAGAGAAAAAGTAGCAGAGTCTGAACAAATTTATACACGCTAATAATGCAACCACGCCATAATGAAAGTAATCTGAAATGTTAAAGAGTGTGAACTTATAACTGTTATAATCTATTTGTATTTTAGAATGACATCCATTTTAGAAACTCGTTCCAAAATTATATTGATGTTACATTTTACTATTTGGTTTTTGTGAGCCTTGAATTTCTTCTTAGTAACAAGTGTTGGATGTTAAGCAGGTGTGTGGTAATTTGGTATGTAATTTCATGGATAAATTACTTCACTCAACTCAAACCTCTAATCCTTGACTTCAACTGCATGTTCAGTAAATGTGTTGACCATTGAGGACATTCTGAATCATTTTTTACTTTTATAATTCTAGGCATTGAAAAAGGAAGCAGAATTTTCAGGATCTTTCAAGAATTGGCAAATAAATTCACTTTCGGGAACAGTTGGCAGCAGAGCAGAGTTTCCAAGTTGTGCAGATAGTGTACAAGTTGCTGACACAATCATGTGTGGACCTGAGATGGTTAACTCACAAAGTCCAAATGGTTCAGGCAAAAGACAAGAAAATGATCCTGAAGGGACTTGTTCCTATCCTATAGGCCCTCTATCTGGTCCAACATCAGTTGCTGCTCCAGCAACAACTTCAAGCAGTGCCTCTCATCACTCCAATGATAGCATAAGTAGTACTCATTCATTTGCTTTTCCCATGTAAGTTTCTTATACTTCAAGTTATGTCTCTCTTTGACATTACACAAGCTATGGTTATAAATAGTTAGGCCTAATTGTGCATATGATCCACAGATTACCTGCAGAATGGAGTGGAAGCCCTGTGAGAATGATGGATGCTGATAAAAGTCAGTTTAGAAAGGACCGATGGCAGAAGATTAGGGTATTGTTTTCCTGCTGCAGAAGTTGATTGCTAAATTTTTGTAATTTGGCAGACACTCACAGTGAATCTTTAGCAGAAAAGTTACTATACTGTGTTTATTTACATGGTGTTATAGGATACATGTGGTCATATCAAATTATTTTGGCATTTGCATATTAAAAACTTGCTAGTTTAAGACTCTATATGCGTTTACTTATATTTGTTCTATTTTCTCGTCTCATAGTTCCTAACATATTACAATATTGAACTAATATTGATTGATATAAGTGATAGCAGTTGATGTCTCTTTAACAAATTATTAAGAATTTGAATCTTAGTCTTACATATGAAATAAATTATGTTGAGAAAATATTCACCTTATATGTACTCACAGTCTTCAATAGAAATTAGTCACTATTTTTGACAGTAGATACTTTGAATTAATATCATGATTTCCCAAAATCTATTACAATCAAGTGAGAAAATTTCTCTCCCAGATGTGATTGTAGTTGGTAAGATATATTGCTCTGAAACAAGAAACAAGGCAAATTTTATCCCTACTTTACTGAATTTTAAGTGGTAGTTTGCCAATTCTGTCTGAACTGTTAATGTTCCATCTGATACCAATGGGTTGATTAGGGATGCACCTAATCAGTTAGTGAAATTTAAATTCAAGTGCGAGGTTATTATAGAATATTTCGACCATTTATGTATTTCTATCATCCCATTTCTTCACTTGGATCATTTTTAATTAAAGTTATTTTTACATTTTTCTATTTCTGTTTTTATATGATTTCTTTTACATGAAATAGAATAAGAGAAACATCTTGTTTATACTTTTTCTGTCCTTTTTCTTGAATAAGTGTAAGTATAACAAACGGTACAATGGAGTGAGTATATTTTTGAGGGATTTTGAAAAATATCTACTCAAATTCTCTTCAACCACACATTTATATCATTTCTTTTTTATCTATCTTTTCTCTTCTTATAATATTACTTTTCCATTTGTAACTTTTTCTTTCTATTTTTATTCTTTTTTCTTTCTTTTCTTTCAACATCGATACACCCCAAATTTACATTTACATTTACATTTATTTTTCTTTTCTCGATTTTTTTGTCATAGAATTTAAATAAATTTGAGTTTAACTCAACATTGCAAAACTCACATGTAAGATAAAGATTAGTTTTCATTTATATACTCTATGTTAATCTTATTCCTAGTCAAAGTGAAACTTGAGCTTTTGTCCAATACATTCTCTTGCATTTAGTATTGTTGGACTTGATGTATGTATAAAATAATGGATGATCCTTTTTAATTGATTTAAGATAGGTAGGACTAAAGACTTCTCTAATAGGCCTATATATCATGCCTAACAATATTTGGCTTGGTGCATAGAAAAATGGTGGATGACCCTTTTAATGGATATAGGATACACTATCACTTTAGAATGTGGCTTTGACCCTATCTAAACTTTAAAAAATTGATTTTTAAGGTTGTGATTGTTCTCGATTTATATATTTTATGTTGGCGGTGTTTAGTTGATGTGAGGTTTGTGTATTATTTATGTAGAGAAAAGATAGACACTAAAAGGAGGGGTTGAATAGTGTATATCAAAATCTTGCACGTTTGAAGTAAGTGAAGTAGTATCTACGACAGATGAGCTGTTAGCAACAATAATCAATAAACACAAGCAATTTTTATATTGGTTCACTTCAATCACTGAGACTACGTCCAATTCTAATCCAACCAGATTGAGTTTCACTAACTTTCAACAAAGTTACAAATATTCTTTCACCAAGTCACTTATAGCTCAATACAAGTGTTCTTTGACTGGTCTCTTCAAGTCACTACCGAAGTATTCTTTTTACAAATAACCCTCTTTAGGCTCAATCCCAATTTTTTTTTTTTTTTGCAAATAAGCCTCTCTAGGCTCTACCCTATAACAATGGTTATGAAGGTATTACAAGGTTGTTGTTGTTGTCTCTTTTAGACATGATTACAATAAAAGTTTAAGCACAAGAGATCTTTTGAAGAAGATTTTCTATGTACGTAGTTCTCTCTTGGATTGTATATGTTCTTTGTATCTCATCTTACTTTCTTGAGTTTTTGAGCTTCTTATATAATAGCTTCAAAAGAGATGATCGTTACAATTTCTTAAGTCCAATTCATAGAACTACTTCGTCTGATCTAAAGAGAAAAGAAGTATCCATCGATGCATTTAATACTTCAATTAATATCTTTCACCTAAACGTACTCCTTATCTTTGATAGATCAAACTACTTATCATAGTAGAGTAGCAAAGTGGGAACAATAGAAATAAAAGTTAGTGTATAGCGAGTATACAATATTTTTCCTGTGCATTTTTTATGAGATCTAAGATCTTTATCCTTTGTTCTAATGTCTTACATGCCTTTATATACCTTTAACAAAATGTGAGTTCCAAAACAATAACTTTCAATCTTTTAAGGTATAAAGTATTCATTTGAAAATTCAAACACGCCTAATAATAAATAATAGATGTTAAGAACATGATAGACATTTTTGTATGTTTCGTCTTACAGACGCTATTTCATCTTACCAAGTCTGAAATAATGACTTTTCAAAAAATGTTTTCTTGTTGAAAGATGTAGTGTTTGTTATCATTAAAACTTACGAAAAATGAAGGATCTAAAATTATCTTTTGACTTAATAGTTTCAATACACTAACACTACTAGACTTGGTTCATGTATAAATAGTAAATGACCCTTTAAATAGATCTAGGATAGACAAGACTTGGATTCTTTCCGATACACTTTGTCACACCGAATACTATTGGACTTTATGCGTGTATAAATGGTAGAAAACCTTTTTAATAGATCTAAGATAATTCATATATAATATTAGAATGAGAGTTTTGTAGGGTTAATAAGTTACACCCAAACTCACATTCTAAGATATAAAGAGAGAAAACACAAAATAAAAAATAAATATTAAATGTGATTTGAAAATGTGCATAAAGAAGTAAAATATATATATATATATATATTATACACTTAAGTTCAATCTGCCATAAAATACATAGAAATTTATATGGATCCCTCCTCTTTCTATATATAATAGAATTAAAAATATAATAAGAGAAATTAAAAAGGTGGGATGAAAAGAAAAAATTAAAATAAAAAAATAATTAATAAAAAAGTGTTTTTCCAAAAGAAGATGAAGGAAAAATATATAAATGCATCTTTAGGTCGACAATAGAAAAGATAGTAAATATTATATTATTGTGTTAGTAAGAATATGTATGAGGAAAGAAACCGAGACTTAAAAATATTCTTCATTTTTTCATTTCTAGACCATTCTAGAATTTTGTATATGCATGATTTTGCAATCAATGAGTTTCGGGATTTTTAAACTGTGGTTTAAAGCATTATGAGTTAAAACAATGTTATATTATATTTTTTAATTCATGCTTGTTTGCTAGCACAATGTATTGTTAGGCTTAAATAGTTAACATATTATTGATTTAGACGAGTTAAAATTTTAATTTTATCCGAACGATAGACATTTCTTATTAACTTATTATTGTTTTATCTTGATGATTCTAATTATATTTATAAATATTATATATAT